CATGACCATGGCAACTCATAAAAGAAAGCATTTAACTGGGGCTGGTTTACGGTTTCAGAGGTCTGGTTCATATCATCATGGTGGGAAGTATGGCAGCATGCAAGCAGACACGGGGCTGGAGTAACCATTGAGGGTTTCACATCCAGATCTACAGGCAGGAGGAAGAGAGCAGATTCTGGGTCTGGGCTTGGAATGGGCTTTTTGAAACCTCAAAGCCCACCCCCAGGGACATACTTCCTCCAACAAGTCCCAACCTCCTGATTATTTCAAATAACGCCACTCCCGGGTGACCAAGTATTTAAATCTGTGAGCCTACGAGTCTATCTCTTTCAAACCACCACAGCTGCAAACTCCTCAATGAAATTACTGCTCTCATGAGCCAATTACCTTTCAATAATGCCACTGGATAGACACCAATATTAAAGGCTCAGCCGGAAGCTCTACTTTGGTCTCATTGCCCCCAATTCCAAACCTGGCCCTTCTCAGAAATCCTACCAAGTGGAGGCTCCTCCCCAGAACTGTTCAAGACCTCACCTCCAGGGTATTTAAACTGTCTTCTAGAGAGTAGTCATGTGGTTTTATTCCAGTCTCCTCTCCCAGTCTCTTCTCTGGGGACTGGGAAAATCATCCAGAAACGTTTTGCCCAATAAACTTGGTCTCTTATTTTTCTTTTTTTTTAATATTTATTTATTATGTATATAATGTTCTGTCTGTGTGTATGCCTGAAAGCCAGAAGAGGACACCAGACCTCATTACAGATGGTTGTGAGCCACCATGTGGTTGCTGGGAATTGAACTCAGAACCTTTGGAAGAGCAGGCAATGCTCTTAACCACTGAGCCATCTCTCCAGCCCTCTTATGTAGCATGAGGGGCTGGCTTGTGGGGTTTTTGTCCCTCCTGGTACCCCGGAGCCGGCATACCCCAAGGAAAATCACACACAGGACTCCATAAGATTATAAACTGATTGGCCCATTAGGTCAGGCTTCTTGTTAGTCCTTATAACTTATATTACTCCATTATCATTATCTATGTTAGCCATAATGGCTCAGTACCTTTTCCAGCTGGGCAGCTTACATGTTTCTTCTCCTGTGGTCTGGGCAGAACTGGAAGCTTCCTGCTTCCCAGAATACTCCCAGTCTCTTTGTTCCACCCCTACTTCCTGTCTGGCTTTCCCGCCTATACTGCCTGCCTGGCCAATCAGCGTTTTATTGAAATATGATTGACAGAATACAGACAATTTTTCCCATATCACTCTTATTTTCCTTTTTCCGTTATCTGAGACAGGGTTCTCTGTGTGACAGCTCTGGCTGTCCTGGAACTCATTCTGTAGACCAGGCTGACCTCAAACTCACAGAGATCCACTTGCTTCTGCTTTCCGAGTGCTGGAGTTAAAGGTGGGCGCCACCACTGCCCGGCAGTCTTGTATTCTTAATTCGACTTGATTTCGCTTACTGCTTCAGAGGAGAAACTTAATATCAGAATATGGAAACCTTTCATTAAACACCTGAATACTTTATGCCTAAATGATAACAGACATTTGCCTCCCCCAGTTTGTTTTTGGTTTGGTTTTGTTGAGACAAGGTCTCATACAGCTGTGGCTGTCCTTGCTTTGTAGCTGGTGATGATCTTGAACCGATTCTACTGCATCCATTTTCTGAGGTACATAACATTACGCCATGGCTTGGTTTTATGGAGTTCAGGGTATTGAACCCAGGGCTTCGTGCATGTTCAGCAAGCTCTCCATCAACTGAACTACATCCTTGGACCCACTTTTCCTTCCCATTAATCTCTGATGTATTATTTCAAACCTTGAGGCATGAGTGGTTCTATTAGCCCCGATTATCCACAGCTAATGTTTTGGGAAAGGAGAGTAACTAATTAAACGTCTATTAGACAACACAAACAATTTCCTAGCTCCTCAAAAGAGGAATTGCTTAGCACCAAATACCAAATGTTTAGAAGATAATTTGGGGGAAGGCAGAGGCAAGGAGATCTCTGTGAGTTCAAATCAGGCCTGGTCTACACAGAAAGCTCCAGGACAGCCAGGGCTACATAGAGAGACTCTGTCTCAGACACCAGAACAATTAAATAAATGAAATGTGTGTTGTTTTTGGGTTTGTTTGTTTGTTGTTTTGTTTTTTGAGACAGGGTTTCTCTACGTAGCTTTGGAGCGTGTCCTGGAATTCACTCTGCAGACCACGCTGGCCTCGAACTCACAGAGACAGGCCTGCCTCTGCCTCCAGAGTGCTAGGTTTAAAGGTGTGCGCCGCCACCATCTGGCTATGCATTAAGTATTTATAAAACAAAATTTGCTAGTTTCATATTCTTCTTAAATTTGTCTACAGTCAAAACCACCCTGAACATGCCCGATCTCGTCTGATATTCTTCTTAAATTTTACATTGATTTGCGTGTGTGTGTGTGTGTGTGAATATGTGTGACACAGAACACACATGGAGACAGGACAGCTTATGGGAGCCGGTTCTCCCCTTCTACCATGTGAGTCCTGGAAACCTAACATAGGTGTTAGGTTTGACATTAAGTGCCTTTACCCAATGAGCCATCTCATCAGCCCTTTATCATTCTTAACTCAGTGGCGTTAAATATGCTCATAGTACGGGGTAATCATCACCATTATCTCCTTCCAGAGTTTTTCCATCACCTCAACAAAAATGTAGAAAGTGCTGCTCTACTTTCTGTGATGACTGCTCCTTGTCAATTCGACTACACTTGGAGTCAGCTGAAAGCCACGAGAGGCACTCCTGTAAGGGATTTTCTTAATCAGATTATTTAGAGCTGGAAGACCCATCCTGTATATGGGCCACACCTTCTGCTGGTGGCCCAGATACAGAGTACGCGGAAGAGGGAAGTTTTGTGTCTGTGCTCGCCCTCGCTCGTGCTGGCCAGTGGATGTGCTGTTGTTCTGCGTAGTGTGGAACCCAGCTGCCTCAGGATTCCTGCACAGACTGAAGACCAGGGCTCTCCAGAAATCCCCAGGTCTTCAGCTCCACATTAGAACTGCAGAGGATTCAGCCGTGGGGACTGAGCAACTGCAAGACTGTCTTCTCTTGTGAGACAGTCACTATTGGGCTACCTTACCTGAACCACATCCTGTAAGCTGGTCTGATAAATCTCCCTTTCCTGTCAGGCTGTGGTGGTGCATGACTTTAGTTCCAGCACTTGGGAGGCAAAGGCAAGTAGATCTCTGGGTCAGCTGATTTACGTAGTGAGTTCCAGGACAGTCAGGGCTCTGTGACGAGACCTTGTCTCCATAAAACAAACAAACAAACAAACAAACAAACAAACCTCCTTGTTTATATGTATATATTCATTGTATTGGTTCTGTTCCTTTAGAGACACCTAACTCATACACTATCTGATCAAACTTGGACTGAAAGTGTTTGGACTATAAAGGGGGGTGGGAGGAGAGACAAAGAGTCAGAAGTCCATCTCTGCCCCTGGCTTTCCACCAGGGTGCTCATCTAACCCCAGCTGCCTGTTGGAGTTTGAGCTGGGAGCTACAGATTCGGAAGCATCTGCCTTAACCTCCGGGATCCATCTGCTTTGCTCTTCTCCAAGCCCCAAGGCTGGAGTTTCTTTCCAGGAGACCCGAGCAAAGAGGAAATGGCAGACCAGAGATCTTCAGATACTAGTCCTGCATTTTGCCTAAGTTTTGGGACCCGGACCTTGATAAAGACAAGGTTTCTCTTCACTGCTTTCAAATATCAGTAAAAGCCCCTTTCCCTCTATAGAAGCAAAATACACACATGTTTCCATGAATCACCTTGCCCTTAACTCATGTCTTTGTGAGTAGAATATAGTTTATAGGAGACCCTATACCCCTTTTCTCAATTCTGCAACAGGTCCCCAGATATTAGCACAACTGACTCCATGATGAAAGGACCATTCAGACCATAAAACTCAGCACATAGACAGCACCGCCTGCCAGAATGAAAACAAAGACCTAACCTAACCCATCAAAGTCCGTAATTATTGGGGAAGTGTGAATGGACTAAGCTTGCCTTTTGGCTTCTGTAGTTCTGCTTCTGGCTAACTGCTCTTGTTAACCCAGGAAGTGATTTTTGTGCTTGAAAGCTTCCTTTGAGAAAGGTCAGGACTGCACTGGGATCCTGATCACCCAGTGTAGCTGCAGGTCGGCTAATGAAGACTTTCTATTGGCTTGAATCCATGTCCACGCAGTCTTCTCTGGTGGAGGTCCCACAACAATTCTTACAATTTTTAAGTTTTTTTCCTTTCTCCTTCCCTCCTTTTTCCCCTCACCTCCAAAGAAATATTGAGTGGGTGTGGGGTGGGGAAGTGCCACGGGTGTTACAGAGAGCACGTGTGGAAATCTGACTGACAACCTCAGGTACCGGCCCTCACCTTCCACCTTATTTGAGACCAGATCTCCTTGTCTCTCACCGTTGTATGTGCCAGGCTATATGGCTCTTGAGCTTCTGGAGATTCTCCTGTCACTGTAGGAACACTGGGACATTCATTATTGCGCCAAGCCTTTCATGGTTCTGGCGTTTCAAATGCAGCTCCTCACAATTGCCTGACAAGGGATTTACCCCTGAGCCATCTTCCCATCCCTTCCGTTCTCTTTGCTTTTCTTTTTGAGACAGGGTCTCTTGTGCATTGGCCTTGAAAGTGCTGTGTAGCTGAGTATGATCCCGAACCTCTGACTCTCAAGCTTAAGATCAAACCTAGGGTTTCAGGCATGCTGGGCAAACACTCTACCAACTGACCTACAGACCCTGCCTATAATCCTTTCAAAGTCACTATTGGAGGCTGCTTCTCCTAGGGCTCTTTGTTATAGACCCTAGAAAATGACCTTGGCATAAGAAGAGGAGGGAAGTGCTGTGTGGCTTTCAGACTCCTGGGAGGCTAGAGGTTCAAAGTCAAAGAAGGCTACATGCAGGAGTCCTTGACTCTTTCTGGTTAGATTGTTCTTGCTGCCCAACAAGCATAGTCTGCACAGCTGCCATCCCACAAAGTCCCCATGCCACCAAGAACTGGATGTGGCTACCGAAACGGACTCACCACTCTTATTTCTTTGGACCACTGGGTTATAGGTCAGAATATGGAGCTGGTTCATCTAAGTGATGAACCTAAAGTTGCCAAAGAAATGGGTAGTTGGAGGTTTAGCATCAAGGGTGGAAGGCGGTTTTGATCAAAGATTAGAACTGCCTGCTAGTATTCCTTCCCTTAAGAATTAATTAGTCCTACTGAAGATAGGCAATGGTAGCACAGGCCTTTATCTCAGCACTTGAGAGGCAGAGGCAGGCAGATCTCTGTGAGTTCGAGGTACCCTGGTCTACAAAGTGAGTTCCAGGACAGCCAGGACTCTGTTTACACAGAGAAACCCTGTCTTGAAAAACAAACAACAACAACAACAACAAAGATGAAGAATTAATCCTACTGAGCCTGTCAGTTGCCTGGAGACCACCCTGCAGAAAAGCTGACTCACAAGAAGACATTCGAAGAAGTCAGGAGGAGCAATTACCTTCTTAATGAGATGCTATGCTTAGCCATCCCTGGGGCCGCTCCCCAGTTCAGAACTTCCAACAGCAACACTGCTAGGCCCAGGTTTGTCTGCTTTTCTGAGTTCAAAGGCAGAAAAGAGTAACTTTTCCTTTCTACCTTTCTGTATCTTCTTTGGATACTGGTCAAAGGCCCGAGCATCCTGTCCTTGATACTCCGGACTTCTTTTTCTTCTGGAGACCTTTCTTTCTTTCTTTCTTTCTTTCTTTCTTTCTTTCTTTCTTTCTTTCCTTTCTTCCTTCCTTCCTTTCTTTCTTTCTTTCTTTCTTTCTTTCTTTCTTTCTTTCCTTTCTTCCTTTCTTCCTTTCTTTCCTTCTTGCTGTGTGTGTTGGGGGGTGTTTCTCTATGTCGCCCACACTGTCCTGGAACTAACTCTGTAGACCAGGCTGGTCTTGAACTTAGAGATTCGCCTGCCTCTGCCTCCTGAGTGCTGGGATTAAAGGTGTGACTCACCACTGCCCAGCCTCTAAACTGCTGTCTTAGAGCCAGCTCTAAAACCACCTCATCTGTCCTGCTCTCCTCAGCCTCCTCCTTCAGAGGCTGCCCAGCGTTACATCTTGCCTTCCCTGTTGTTTTCCTTTCAAAGTCTAACAAAATGGTCCTTGCACTTAAAAAAATAAAAAGAAGAATAGTGGGTGGGAGGTGGCCCCTGTGGCTTGCTAAATTTCAGTGGTGAAGAATTCCCCCGACACTGGAAACAGTAGAGTTGGTGAGCAGCTGAGAAAGATAGAGAAAGTCTCCCACAGGGAGATCTGTACGGATCTGGGTCCCAGTTTCATTTCATCTAATTTAGAAAAATATCCTACACAGAGTTTCTTGGCCTGTTATTACAACAAAAAGAACACACAGGCATTTCCCTGGATAACTGACTTCATTCAGCATGGGAAACACTGGACTATCAGGACCCTGAGGTTCTTTCTTTCTCCAGGTTTATGCTGCTGGGTCTGCAATGTAATCGCGGAGTGAGGCTTTTCATCCCAGGCTAACTACAGCCCATTGATAACGTCCTAACCGGATTCTGATCTGAGTCGATGAGAGCTCTCTGATTTTCCCAGACCGTTGCCTGTTGGACAGACAAAGGGCAGTACTAAAGGTGCAGCTTGCCCTGGCTCCTGGGGAGGCTAGACATGCTGACTGGCACTCTTTTATATTATATCTGACATATATGCAAAGTCTAGGATAAAGGCATGGCTAGCCACAGTGGCCCAGGGGGAGGATGTCGATCTCCGTGAGTTCGAGGCCAGTCTCGTCTACATAGTGAGTTCTAGGACAGGCAGGGCTAAATAGTAAGAGCCTGTCTCGAGGAAAAGAAACAAAACCCAAAACAAACAAACAAAAAAAAAACAAAAACAACTTAGAACAAGAAAGAACGTGTGTGTGTAAAACAGGATTTTGTCAAATCGAAAGAAAAACAGTGGTACAAAATCAGCTTATCCATATCAGTCAACCCTCAGACAGATGCGATCGTATTTCTTCTGTTATTAGCTACTTGGTGCTTACTTATGAAAGGCTCAAAACCTCCAGAATCTTAGTCTGCCTCACTGGTGGTCTATTTCTGCTGAGTCTGCCTAAGGATTGACGCCATTTGCGCTGTTACTGCCTCAGAAGTATACCTCTCACCGTTTCCTGTGACTTCATAGCATGATACTTACTGCAGAGTTTTGAAACCCATTTATGTCCCCAACTGTCTAAGTCGCACTGCTGCGAGAGAATCTCTGCAGGAGTGATCAGCAGACAGCTGTCAGTAACAAGCACACCGGATCCCACACTTACCAGCTGTCTAGACGGAGAAGAAAGGATGCTTTAGGTGAGATGACAGGGACTAGTGAGGGACAGGTATGGTTGTGGGGACGCAGAAGATAACCTGTGTAATTTCTTTTGAAATTTTACAAACGCATGCCCGAAAGTTCTGAAGCCTGCTTTTGTCTTTCTAGGAAGGTGAACAACTATGGTTTGCTCCGGCCCAAGGAAGCTGGAAGGAACTGATGTGGGCAGACAGGATAACCCAGCCAGATGGTGGAGACATGATGGTAAGAGTGTGGAGGCGGGGTAAGGGTGCCAATTAGCATGTCTAGCCTCCCCAGGAGCCAAGGCAAGCAGATGGCTGCACCTTTCCTGCTCCCGTCCTCTGTCCAGCAGGCAGCAGGGGTTGCTCTTGTACTCATGCAGAGAGTGCACACAGACTCTTCTTCCAGAATGTGGAAGTGGTGGACCTGCAGCGGAACGATTTAAATATCATGTCAAAGAGAAGTAGATCTTATCTCCGTCAGCCTCTTGCAATAGCTTGGTGCCCGTCAGAGGCTGACACCACAGGAAAGTGACTGGTTGTCACTCAGCAGCCAGGGCAGCTTGTGTGTGCTTGGAGAGAGGCTGGCTTCCAGGTAGTTTGTGAGAGCACAAGTCACAAAGTCCACCATAGCCTTTCCCGAACACTCCGGTGGGATGGACGGGGCCTGCCTCCATCATTTCCTCCTCTCTCTGGAGCTGGCTGCAATTGTAGTCACTGAATGCTTGTTAAATCCAGCCTTAATCCCAGCACTCGGGAGGCTGAGGCAGCTGGATCTCTGGTCTACTGGGTGACTTCCAGGACAGTCAGGGCTATGCAGAGAAACAGTCCTGAAAAGAAAAACAAAAACAGAAGGCAAAAAAGAAAGTGTGTAAAATTGAATCAAGCTGTGACAATTCAGTTACTGCGTGCACGATTCAGCATTTTCTAAATATGAATGCTACACCAGGATAAATGGTCACATGACAAAATACAATGGACAACCCTGGGAAGAAGGCTTTCATTTTCATTTCAAACCAAATAATCACTTTCAAAATTGTGAAGTAGCCAATCATGGTAGGGTTCATGCTAGCACTGGAGGAAGAGACTGGAGGATCTTGAGGTCAAGACCATCTTTGGGTACATGGCAAGTTTAGGCTAGCCTGGGCTACATAAATCCTATCTTAGTACCTACCCCATCCATGCATATGTATGTGTATCTACATGTATGTATGTATGTATGTTTTAGGTAAATGGTTGATTTTCTCAATTTTTCATCAATAACTAGCTTTGCAGGCAACATTTAATATGAAATGAATAAATATGATACCGAAATCAGGCAATGCCATTAGAGAGACTCCATGTTTTTTATTGTTTTCAGTGCCTTCTTAATAACACTAGATATGTAGTATGTAGTCACTAAAAACCATTACAGATCAGATTATTACTTTCAGACAGGAATAGGAAACAGGAAGTCAGGCACACATCTTGTGTAATTCTTACAGAGAATCGCTTTAAAACATTTCAAAAGTAAGATTCCTGTCTGTTAGCAGTTTGCTTAGAAGGAGGTCAGTTGACTTCCACGTGGGTGTGCTGTTGCACACATCCCTCTCTCTCTCTCTCTCTCTCTCTCTCTCACACACACACACACACACACACACACACACACACACCCCGGAGTCTTTTGCTCAAAGGAAATACACCCAGATATCTCTGCTACTTTAATACCTTGAGAGAAAGGGGAGGAAGGGCCTGGCAAAGGCCAGGGCACTGAGACCACTCTTTGTTTGACACTGTCTACTGGCACATGGGTAGGGGACACAGAGGTGATGGTAGAGCATCATGGCAGTGTCCCTAAAAGTCATGCTGAATCCTAAATGAGAAGGTGCATGGTGTGGGAGAATGGCACGCTAGTTATTTCTGTAGTAGATGCTTTTATCCACTTGACTTGTATTATTTTGTATTTAATTTTTCCAAGATTCATTCATTTTATTTTATGTGAGTCTTTTGCTGCATCATGTATATGTACCTCGTGCATGTCTGGTGCCCATGGAGGTCAGAAGAAGGCATTAGATCCCCAGTATCTGGCATTACGGATGGCTTGTGAAACCACCATGTGGGTGCTGGGATCTGAACCTGGGTCTTCTGCAAGAGAAACAATTTTCTTAACTACTGAGCCATCTCTCCAGGCTCCTACTTTTATTTTTTATTTTAAAAATGTACATTTATTTATTTGTGCCTGAATGCATGCAAACCATGGCTCTCATGTGGAAGCCAGAGGTCAGTAGCTTGTCGCAGTCTGTTCTCTCCGTCTACCACGTGGGTCCGAGGGACTGAACTCATGACATCAGTCTTGGCTGCAATCACCTTCAGCTGATGAAGGGTCTTGCTGGCCCTCACTTTATTTTTAGCAGTAAAAATGTTGCCCAACTAATACATCTACAACACAGCTCTTGAACCTAAGACTCAGGGATCATTGTGGAAGGAGGGCAGAATGAATGTAAGAGCCAGAGGAATAGGACATTTGCTGCGAGACTGTGTCTTCTAGAAACGCCAGATGCTACACCATGAAATTTTACCAACATGGATGCCTAAAGAAGACTTGAATCAGCCTGACGCCAATACACATGATAACATGAAAGGGCCTTAACCCTAGACAAAGCACTATGGGCAACTGGGGAATACTGAAGGGAAGAAATGGTCCTCCCTGAGGAAGAGCCCTCCCAGTTGGTTATCTAACAGCAAGTCGTCAGTCCTGAGATCATATATGTATAGGTGACATTATATGAACTGAGCAGGTTGTGTTCATGTATTTAGTCATATGTGTGTGTGTGTGTGTGTGTAGATATATGTGTATATGTTTAATAATGAAATAAAAAGAGGCCATGAATTTGTGAGCAAGGGAGGAGTAGTGTGGGAGAGGCTGGAAGAAGGAAAAGGGGTAAATGATGATGTAATTATAATTTCAAAGAACAAAAACATTTTTAAAAAAAGAAATAGAAATGTTGAACTCCTGTAATTTGGTGACTTCCCTTTTTCCTATGACAATTGAGATTTCATTTCTCCATCCTTCATTTTACGACCAACCAACTGAAATCCCTTAAAGGAAGAAACAAAGTGTTAGATTAGAGAAGTGCAACCTATTTCTTATAAGTGACTACATACTTCTTGACCACTTTTAACATAGGGAGGGTGCTTTCCCCCAGCTCTGAACCCCTGTGCAGGGGGTTAACACAGGGAGGGGTTTTTCCCCAGCTCTGGACCCCTGTGTAGGAGTTAACACAGGGAGGGGTTTTTCCTCCAGCTCTGGACCTCTGTGCAGGGGCTAATATGTGTGTGTGTGTGTGTGTGTGTGTGTGTGTGTGTGTGCTTTTCCCCAGCAAATGTGGAGGTGATGGGATGTTTCTGTAGTCCCAGCTGTCATGGTACCTCGTCTGATCATTTTATTCCTGATCTAATCCTTGATAGTTCTGTATGCAACTCAGGATCCTAGTGAGCCAAGGCTCAGCACTTAGTCCCACTCCTGTGTTCTCCACAGCTGTGTCTCATCCGTGTTCTCCATAGTTGTGTCTCATTGTGTTACAGACAATTGTGAGCTGCCATGTGGTCGCTGGGATTTGAACCCGGGTCCTCTGGAAGAGCAGCCAGTTCTCTTAACTGCTGAGCCGTCTCTCCAGCCCTCCCCTCTCTCTTTTAAGATTTCTTTTCTTTTTTGTTTTTTGAGACAGGGTTTTTCTGTGTAGCATTTGGAGCCTGTCCTGGAGCTTACTCTGTAGACCAGGTTGGCCTCAAACTCACAGAGATCTGCCTGCCTCTGTCTCCCGAGTGTTGTGATTAAGGTGTGCCCCGCCACCACCACCGGCTTCTCTCTCTCCTTCCTTCCTTTTTGAATTTATTTATGCATATGCGAATACTCTGCATGTTTCTCTGCTTTCCAAAGGAGAGCATTAGATCCCATTATAGATGGTTATGAGCCATCATGTGGTTGCTGGGAACTGAACTCAGAACCTCTGCAAGAGCAGCCAGTGCCCTCAACCACTGTGCCATCTCTCTAGCTCCCAAGATTTATTTTTAATTTTTTTTAATTTAATTTTTTTTTTTTTGAGAAAGGGTTTCTCTGTGGCTTTAGAGCCTGTCCTGGAACCAGCTCTTGTAGACCAGACTGGCCTCGAACTCACAGAGATCTGCCTGCCTCTGTCTCCCGAGAGTGCTGGGATTAAAGGCGTGTGCCACCACCACCTGGCTGATTTATTTCTTTTTTATATGAGTATTTTGCCTGCGTGTATGTAAGCACACCATTCTAGTGTTTGTAAAGTATTCATGAAGGCCAGAAGACGGTATCAGACCTCCTAGAACTACAATTACAGAAAGCCAGGTCATTGCTGGGGATAGAATTTGGGTCCTCTGCAAAGCATAAAGTGTTCTCAACTGTTGAGCCATCTCTCCAGTCCTTATAAATCTCTTTTCAAATAAACAGAGCAGTGCCGTACACACAGCAGGTACGCAAGAACATTTCCCACTTAATTTCCTATTTTGTTTTAGATAAGACATTACTATCATGTTTGTGCCATATTAACCAACTTACCTGTTTTAATAATAATTTCCTCAATTTTTCATTCTTATTGACTGGCAAAGGCCAGCCCAGTGACTGAAATGTACATCCCTCACCACTTCCTGGAGTACTCCCCATGTGGTATGGTTTAAAACAAAAAGCACAACATAAGGAGATTAGGGGTGCCACCTGAGAGTTCCCCCAATTTCCTCTGGAGGCTGTGGGTTGTCACTTTCATGCCCCTACAAGGTACTGAATCCACTTGCCAGTCCCTGGAGGGTGACATTCTTAGAAGCCAGCTCATAGATGTCTTTTGTGCTTCCTCCTCCCACACAGAGACCTGCCCAGCCCTACAATGTGTTCCTATGCTACTTTGTGCATGGTTCTTTAGGACTTGGCACTTGGAGGCCTAGATGATTTACATGAGAGCTTCGAAGTGGGGATCACCTACCCCAGTGTTTTCTGGCTGGTATGTAGATTACCGTAGTGTACACAGAGTGTTATATCACAGCGTGCATATGTGCAACAGATGTGCAAACCTTTCCTGTCTCAACCCCTCACTCCAAGCTGCAGGCTTTCTTAGCTCCTTCACACCCTTTGGAAAGGTAAAGGAAGGTGTATTAGTCCAGTTTCCCTAAAAATCTCCCAGACAGACAGGAGGTATATTTACATAGGGCAGATGTATTTTCAGCAATCTGTTCAAGACCGGCAAGTATGGGTTGAAAGATGGAGAGCAGGGAAGGGCTAATGGGCAAGCTGGAAGTTGGCTAGCAATCCCTTTCCTTTCTCGGAGGAGAGTCTTTCTCTAGTTCAGCCTCCTAGTTACTGAACAAGACCCATGCACTCAAAGACTACTGAATGAAATTAAATGTCACCCAGACACCTTCCAGAAACATCTAGAATGCAGTTTGACTATTAAGGTATCTGGTCCAGCACAACTAACCATCACAGGTTACTGTGCTGTTACTCTTACCTTTTATTGCTTGCTGCCTTGGGGTTTTGTGCTGGAGATTGAGTGACAGGAAAGTGTTCTGCTAGCTAGCTGCAGGCTCAGTGCTCACGCTCACACTGCATGCTCAGCTGCCTCTGCTGTCTTTTGGATGCTGCTGACCACCAGAGTGCCAGCAAGGCTGCTGTTGGAGTCTGCTCTGCTGCTCTGACATGGAGGGGACGGGGGACTCTTCCGGAAGCCACAAATCACCTTTACTGACTGAGCCTCAAACTCTACCTCCACCTCAGCCCGCAAGTATGACTAGGAGCTGGGGTCTCACAGGATGCCTGGCTTCCAATTGTCTTTTACCCAGCTGGAGTTTTTATTAGGTGTGGAAGGATTCTGGTGGAGGGGACTGGTTCAGCCAGACTCTTTCTGGAAACCATAGCCCCGTCTGCAATCTCAGGAAGGAGGACAAAGTAAAGATGAGACAGAAGAGTGGGACTCATTGCTGTCCGGCTGAAACTTCATCCTTTTATTTTACCATGCATTTCCCCCTTTGCTTTCCTGAATTCAGCTGCAGGACTGGAAAAGATGCTGTCTATCTTTTCAGATTGATCTCAAACGCAGAGCCTTCAGGAACTGTGAGGATCAAACTGTGGGAAGGTGTTTTAGGAAGTCTTTATAACTCCTTGACAATTATATTGATGTGTGTGTGTGTGTGTGTGTATGTGTGTGTGCGCGCGTGCGCGTGTGTGTGCATGTGTTTAAGGATGTGGGTGCTTGTGTGGAGGTCAGGGGACAACTTGATGGGTCTGTTCTCTCCTTTCACCAGCTGAATACTGGGGATTGAACTCAGGTCGTCAGTTGTGCCAACAAATGCTTTTCCTGCTGACTAATCTCACTGGCCCATCCTTACAATATCAGACAAGTATCTATTTGATGATTTTCATCTTCATTACCTCTATAACCAACTCCCACTCCTTCTGAACTGTTCCTTTTTTCTAACAAGTCACAGTGCTTCAGGGAGAAGAGTCTCATTTCCGTAGTAGAAGAATTAAGCTAATAAACTTAGCTGCTGCTAGGTAAACCATACATACACCTCAAGGTAAAAGGAATGACCTACCTAAGGTTGATCCTGAAGAAGGAAAGCTCCTAAGGCTTTGAGCTGGGCCAGTTCCAATCAGATTAGAAGCAGCCAAATTATCTGCAAACCTCACACTCCCGACACCAATAACCAATAAAACACTGCTATTTTTAAATCATGCTCAAGGTTGAGATACACAGTGGAGGGGCAACCCTTTTAAGATTAAACAAACATTTAAAGAACAGATACATAAACATTGATTTAAAAATGCTTTAAAATGTTTACAATGATTCCACTGTTAGAGCATTATGATCACAGTATGTCATGTGACTCATATGGCTGACCAAGAGTGCAAATCACTAAAAAAAAAAAAAAGCCCTAAGCAATATGCCAGTAGTAAAATAAAACTTTAAGTTGGGAGGTGCAACACTGCTTTAATCCCGGTACTTGGAAGGCAGAGGGAGGCAGATCTCTTGAGTGTGGTGCCAGCTTCGTCTACAGAGTGAGATCCAGGATAGCCAGGGCTACCCAGGGAAAGCTTGTCTTGCAAATAACCAAAGCAAACCAAACCAACCAAATGAAAAAGATGAAGCTAGAGTCGAAGGAAACCAACTCCACTAATCCTAGTACCAAATGTAGAGATTTTAACAAGTGGATGTGGAAAGCAACTTGGAGTATTACATAAACTTGCAGAGGCTGTGCTATGAGGACAATCCTAGTCAAAGATGATCAGTGTACTGTGCTTTATATCTTCTGGACCTGTTTTAACATACAAAAAATCATAATCAGAATTGGAAGAGATCCAACATCTCAACCTCTTGAAACACAATTTATTCTTATACTTTTACAACTGGAAAAAGTATTTTGCAAAGCAAATATGAAGCAACTGAGCTCTATAGAAGACCATGTGTTCAATTATTTCTACGTTCATCCACTCAGTAAACACATATTGAAGAGTAACCTTTAGCAACTCCTTTTTCTCCTTCAGTTTTATGCCTCTGTCCGAGCTATCCTATTCGCACAGACTGTACACTCAGCTATCTGCCAGATGCCCCTCTCCTCTCCTGGGACACAAGTGGGTGTGCTAGGATCCCCCTCTCCCCACTTCCTTTACCTTGCCATCCCATCCCAGTCTCGTCCCCTTCTTCCCAGATCTCTTGGGTATCCTATATTTTCCATCTCAGATCCAAATGATACACAGGAAGTTGGGCAGATGCCATGTAAGTTCTCTATAAGTAGTAAGCTGTAGTGGCCATTCCAGTTGAACTATAGAAGAGGAAAACAAAGGCATGGCATGCTGGAACTTGGTGGGGTATATATAAAAACAACCAATAATTAGATATGTGCCCTGACAAGTTTTATAGGATAAATAACGCACTATATTTGAATATTCAACATAGAAGTATTCTCATCACACTTAAAGCAATTTTTAGTCCTAAAACTCTGGAGGTGAATGGGATTTCAGAAATCATTTGAATGAGAGGGACAGCAAAGAACCAGGGTAGGACACACACTCAGTAGTTAGGTGTGGGAAAAGTAAAGCAAGTGTACATTTAGCAAAATGATGTGGCCCAAAATGGGCGACTATCTAAATCTAATTTTTTTCATTGCTTTGATTGCAGAAATTGAATAACAATTAGCAAGAGTTACTATCTGTGATACAGTGTTTCAACACATTTCCATATAATTTACTTAATCTTTACACATCTTCTCTGGAAACTAGGAATCCTTTCATTTTCCCAAGAGGAAATCGTGGTATAATAGCCTCATAATGACACACCTTTCTGGGGTGGGCAGGACAAATCAGCTGGTAAAGGTATTTGTTGCCATGCCTTAGTTCCCTTCCATCCCGGGAATCCACCGTGGAAAGACACGATGTGTCTGGTCTCCTTTGACCCCGTTGAACTCACACACAAAATACAACGTATCAACTGCAAACCTGCAGTCTGAGTTTGAGAGATTCTATCCATCGAAGCACAGGCTGTCGAGAGCAGTGCAAGGTGGTTATCACTCCACAGGAGGTCTGAAAAAACTTCGAAAATGACCTGAGGGTGGTAGCTCTAACCAGTAAACCCAGTCAGATTGCCACAAATCCTAGATTTGCCACGGGGACATTGTCTCAAAACCAAAACCAATCTAGCGGCCAATTCTGTTACGGAGTAACTTTTAAAAACAAAAATTATTTCAAATTCCGCAAGCCCAGCCTTTTATTAATCTTAATTTAATGAACCACAACAACAGCTTATCCTATTAGTCGTGTTAAGCTGATCATTCGTGGGTTGTTTCTGATTTGACAAAACCGTACACCAAGAAACGGATCCGGGGCCGCAAATCATTGCTAGCAAATTCTGATTTCAGAAGCAATGTTGCTTTATTCCGTGACAAACAAGCTGTCGGTTTCAGCACAACTTGGTGCTGCCGCGAACCGTTTCCCATCCTAGAGAGGCTCGTACTGGGACCAACAAGCCGAGCTGGGGCCCGCAGGCACCCATTTAGGTCAGGCCTCGGGGTGGAGGTCGCGGTGCCCGCGGCCGGACTCGTTTATATTTGAATTTCCCTGAACGGTCAGCAGCAGGAGGCGGCACGGACCCGCCCCGGAAACCTCGGGCTCTTTCCCGCCATTTGCAGGCCCGGCCCTTCCAGGGGTCCCCAGGGGGAGAGCACGCGCTCCGGCGGGCTCTGGGCTCCCGGCTGAGGAAGGAGCAGTTCGGGGCGCCCCTCCCCGCCACGCCCAAGTCCGAGGGCGAGGCCGACGGTTGCCCGGGGGTCAGATTTTGAATTTTTAGGCCGGGCCCCCTCCGCGAGTCGCAGGGGCGCGCCGCCCGCTCCCTATTGGCCGGCGGCGGTCACGTGGGGGCTCCGCCATGTTGCGGAGCGCGGCCCGTGCCA